ACTCAAGCAATTGATCCTCGGCCAAGTGTGCAGGGCCCCATCGTCATCAACAGCCACTTACCCGCCCTCTATAAACCAGCCGACGCAGCAGATATCGCTCTGTGGGCTCGGTGGCTGTGCCACAACGCAGACCACTAATCCGTTCAACTTTTTCGTGCAGATGTTCTCCTTCCTCCGCGCTTTGCTCCTGTTGCTGGCTTCCTCGGACGGCACGACAGCATGCACAATCTGGAGCAACAAAAATCAAGCAAGTGGCTACCATCCGGCTATCAGCAACGCCTCGCCACTCAAGCAATTGATCCTCGGCCAAGTGTGGAGGGCCCCATCGTCATCAACAGCCACTTACCCGCCCTCTATAAACCAGCCGACGCAGCAGATATCGCTCTGTGGGCTCGGTGGCTGTGCCACAACGCAGACCACTAATCCGTTCAACTTTTTCGTGCAGATGTTCTTCCTCCGCGCTTTGCTCCCGTTGCTGGCTTCCTCGGACGGCACGACAGCATGCACAATCTGGAGCAACGAAAATCAAGCAAGTGGCTACCATCCGGCTATCAGCAACGCCTCGCCACTCAAGCAATTTATCCTCGGCCAAGTGTGCAGGGCCCCATCGTCATCAACAGCCACTTACCCGCCCACTATAAACCAGCCGATGCAGCAGATATCGCTCTGTGGGCTCGGTGGCTGTGCCACAACGCAGACCACTAATCCGTTCAACTTTTTCGTGCAGATGTTCTCCTTCCTCCGCGCTTTGCTCCCGTTGCTGGCTTCCTCGGACGGCACGACAGCATGCACAATCTGGAGCAACGAAAATCAAGCAAGTGGCTACCATCCGGCTATCAGCAACGCCTCGCCACTCAAGCAATTGATCCTCGGCCAAGTGTGGAGGGCCCCATCGTCATCAACAGCCACTTACCCGCCCACTATAAACCAGCCGATGCAGCAGATATCGCTCTGTGGGCGCGGTGGCTGTGCCACAACGCAGACCACTAATCCGTTCAACTTTTTAGTGCAGATGTTCTCCTTCCTCCGCGCTTTGCTCCCGTTGCTGGCTTCCTCGGACGGCACGACAGCATGCACAATCTGGAGCAACGAAAATCAAGCAAGTGGCTACCATCCGGCTATCAGCAACGCCTCGCCACTCAAGCAATTGATCCTCGGCCAAGTGTGCAGGGCCCCATCGTCATCAACAGCCACTTACCCGCCCACTATAAACCAGCCGACGCAGCAGATATCGCTCTGTGGGCTCGGTGGCTGTGCCACTACGCAGACCACTAATCCGTTCAACTTTTTCGTGCAGATGTTCTCCTTCCTCCGCGCTTTGCTCCCGTTGCTGGCTTCCTCGGACGGCACGACAGCATGCACAATCTGGAGCAACGAAAATCAAGCAAGTGGCTACCATCCGGCTATCAGCAACGCCTCGCCACTCAAGCAATTGATCCTCGGCCAAGTGTGGAGGGCCCCATCGTCATCAACAGCCACTTACCCGCCCACTATAAACCAGCCGATGCAGCAGATATCGCTCTGTGGGCGCGGTGGCTGTGCCACAACGCAGACCACTAATCCGTTCAACTTTTTCGTGCAGATGTTCTCCTTCCTCCGCGCTTTGCTCCCGTTGCTGGCTTCCTCGGACGGCACGACAGCATGCACAATCTGGAGCAACGAAAATCAAGCAAGTGGCTACCATCCGGCTATCAGCAACGCCTCGCCACTCAAGCAATTGATCCTCGGCCAAGTGTGCAGGGCCCCATCGTCATCAACAGCCACTTACCCGCCCACTATAAACCAGCCGACGCAGCAGATATCGCTCTGTGGGCTCGGTGGCTGTGCCACTACGCAGACCACTAATCCGTTCAACTTTTTCGTGCAGATGTTCTCCTTCCTCCGCGCTTTGCTCCCGTTGCTGGCTTCCTCGGACGGCACGACAGCATGCACAATCTGGAACAACGAAAATCAAGCAAGTGGCTACCATCCGGCTATCAGCAACGGCTCGTCACTCGAGCAATTGATCCTCGGCCAAGTGTGGAGGGCCCCATCGTCATCAACAGCCACTTACCCGCCCACTATAAACCAGCCGACGCAGCAGATATCGCTCTGTGGGCTCGGTGGCTGTGCCACAACGCAAACCACTAATCCGTTCAACTTTTTCGTGCAGATGTTCTCCTTCCTCCGCGCTTTGCTCCCGTTGCTGGCTTCCTCGGACGGCACGACAGCATGCACAATCTGGAGCAACGAAAATCAAGCAAGTGGCTACCATCCGGCTATCAGCAACGCCTCGTCACTCGAGCAATTGATCCTCGGCCAAGTGTGGAGGGCCTCATCGTCATCAACAGCCACTTACCCGCCCACTATAAACCAGCCGACGCAGCAGATATCGCTCTGTGGGCTCGGTGGCTGTGCCACAACGCAGACCACTAACCCGTTCAACTTTTTCGTGCAGATGTTCTCCTTCCTCCGCGCTTTGCTCCCGTTGCTGGCTTCCTCGGACGGCACGACAGCATGCACAATCTGGAGCAACGAAAATCAAGCAAGTGGCTACCATCCGGCTATCAGCAACGCCTCGTCACTCGAGCAATTGATCCTCGGCCAAGTGTGGAGGGCCCCATCGTCATCAACAGCCACTTACCCGCCCTCTATAAACCAGCCGACGCAGCAGATATCGCTCTGTGGGCTCGGTGGCTGTGCCACAACGCAGACCACTAATCCGTTCAACTTTTTCGTGCAGATGTTCTCCTTTCTCCGCGCTTTGCTCCCGTTGCTGGCTTCCTCGGACGGCACGACAGCATGCACAATCTGGAGCAACGAAAATCAAGCAAGTGGCTACCATCCGGCTATCAGCAACGCCTCGTCACTCAAGCAATTGATCCTCGGCCAAGTGTGGAGGGCCCCATCGTCATCAACAGCCACTTACCCGCCCACTATAAACCAGCCGACGCAGCAGATATCGCTCTGTGGGCTCGGTGGCTGTGCCACAACGCAGACCACTAATCCGTTCAACTTTTTCGTGCAGATGTTCTCCTTCCTCCGCGCTTTGCTCCCGTTGCTGGCTACCTCGGACGGCACGACAGCATGCACAATCTGGAGCAACGAAAATCAGGCAAGTGGCTACCATTCGGCTATCAGCAACGCCTCGTCACTCGAGCAATTGATCCTCGGCCAAGTGTGGAGGGCCCCATCGTCATCAACAGCCACTTACCCGCCCACTATAAACCAGCCGACGCAGCAGATATCGCTCTGTGGGCTCGGTGGCTGTGCCACAACGCAGACCACTAATCCGTTCAACTTTTTCGTGCAGATGTTCTCCTTCCTCCGCGCTTTGCTCCCGTTGCTGGCTTCCTCGGACGGCACGACAGCATGCACAATCTGGAGCAACGAAAATCAAGCAAGTGGCTACCATCCGGCTATCAGCAACGCCTCGTCACTCGAGCAATTGATCCTCGGCCAAGTGTGGAGGGCCCCATCGTCATCAACAGCCACTTACCCGCCCACTATAAACCAGCCGACGCAGCAGATATCGCTCTGTGGGCTCGGTGGCTGTGCCACAACGCAGACCACTAATCCGTTCAACTTTTTCGTGCAGATGTTCTCCTTCCTCCGCGCTTTGCTCCCGTTGCTGGCTTCCTCGGACGGCACGACAGCATGCACAATCTGGAGCAACGAAAATCAAGCAAGTGGCTACCATCCGGCTATCAGCAACGCCTCGTCACTCGAGCAATTGATCCTCGGCCAAGTGTGGAGGGCCCCATCGTCATCAACAGCCACTTACCCGCCCACTATAAACCAGCCGACGCAGCAGATATCGCTCTGTGGGCTCGGTGGCTGTGCCACAACGCAGACCACTAATCCGTTCAACTTTTTCGTGCAGATGTTCTCCTTCCTCCGCGCTTTGCTCCCGTTGCTGGCTTCCTCGGACGGCACGACAGCATGCACAATCTGGAGCAACGAAAATCAGGCAAGTGGCTACCATCCGGCTATCAGCAACGCCTCGTCACTCGAGCAATTGATCCTCGGCCAAGTGTGGAGGGCCCCATCGTCATCAACAGCCACTTACCCGCCCACTATAAACCAGCCGACGCAGCAGATATCGCTCTGTGGGCTCGGTGGCTGTGCCACAACGCAGACCACTAATCCGTTCAACTTTTTCGTGCAGATGTTCTCCTTCCTCCGCGCTTTGCTCCCGTTGCTGGCTTCCTCGGACGGCACGACAGCATGCACAATCTGGAGCAACGAAAATCAGGCAAGTGGCTACCATCCGGCTATCAGCAACGCCTCGTCACTCGAGCAATTGATCCTCGGCCAAGTGTGGAGGGCCCCATCGTCATCAACAGCCACTTACCCGCCCACTATAAACCAGCCGACGCAGCAGATATCGCTCTGTGGGCTCGGTGGCTGTGCCACAACGCAGACCACTAATCCGTTCAACTTTTTCGTGCAGATGTTCTCCTTCCTCCGCGCTTTGCTCCCGTTGCTAGCTTCCTCGGACGGCACGACAGCATGCACAATCTGGAGCAACGAAAATCAAGCAAGTGGCTACCATCCGGCTATCAGCAACGCCTCGTCACTCGAGCAATTGATCCTCGGCCAAGTGTGGAGGGCCCCATCGTCATCAACAGCCACTTACCCGCCCTCTATAAACCAGCCGACGCAGCCCATATCGCTCTGTGGGCTCGGAGGCTGTGCCACAACGCAGACCACTAATCCGTTTTCGTGCAGGTTAGTAAACCGTGCAGTCTTTTCTCTAAAAAAACAAGTAACTACTTTTTAATACAGCTGCCTAGCCCGCAGTGTTGCGTTGTTATTTCGATTGAGTGCTTCCATACCATCCGTTCCTTGCTGTTGCAATCGGGTGACATCGAAACTAATCCTGGTCCTGGTACCAACGCCATACTAGCCGAGCTGACAAAACTATCCACCGGTCAATCGAAATTACTTGCAGAGGTACAAGACCTTAAAACCCAGCTTTTAAAAAAACAGATAAAGCCATATCAGAGTTGAGCGGGCGCATGACTGCGCTCGAAAACCATTATCAAAATCTCGCCCCCGTGCGCACCGAATTAGAAAATGTAAAAATCGAGACGGCTCAGACAGCCCGTTTGGTCTGTGGCCTGGAGGCGCGCTTCGACGATGCCGAAAATCATTCTCGACGCAACAACCTCATTTTCTATGGCATCCCTAACGCCACTGGACCAGAAACGTTTGCCCAATCTGAACAACTCGTCATCCGGCACTGTCGTGATCACTCGAACATAACCATAGACCCCAAAGAAATAGAGCGTGCACATCGTCTTGGACATCATACATCTGACCGCCCTCGCCCAGCAATCGTTAAATTCACGTTCTATAAGACAAAATACACCATTCTAACTAATGGCCGCAAGTTCAAAGGAACAAGTTTCAGTGTTGGCGAAGACTTTTCTCGGCCCGTCCAAAATGCTCGCAAACGCCTACTTGCGTTTGCAAAAAGCAAAAATACGCCATTTTCTTTACGGTTTAAAACCCTACTCATGGGACCGAAACGCCATGTTTTTGATGAACCATCACAGACCGTAAAGGAAACAGCATAGCAATTGCCCCGTCAGAAGGAAATCACAGCCCCCTCTCGGATTTCTACCGAAACTAATCTTTCATTTTCTGTAATCTTCACCAACGCGCAAAGTTTTCTTCCGAAACGAGAAATTTTGTCTAATCTCGTGTTGTCTTCCAGTAGTAATTTGTTGATCTTAACCGAAACCTGGCTGTCTAAAGAAACCACTGATGCTGAAGTTCTGGCCGATTTGCCGGACTTTATAGAAATGACCGCCAAGCCACACGAGGAGGAGGTGTTCTCATCGCCGCACACCAGCAGTTGTCATGTTCTATCGTTAACATTACATCCGACCTTGAAGGACTATGGATCACAGGTCGCGCTTCACCTCAGACGGTTCTTTTGGGAGTCCGCTACAGGCCTCCCCATACTTCTCCCGACTTTTCTTGTAAACTTGATAACATCCTTAGTGAATTTGCCTCAACGTACCCGAATGCGCATATCCTTCTCTTTGGAGACCCGCAAATAGACTGGAGCAACCAGGTCCCCTCAGCTATAGGCAATGAAGCCGCAAAAGATTTTATTAACGTATGTCTCGATTTTAACCTCGTTCAACTAGTATCCGAACCCACACGTGTTTCACGGGATTCTGTAAACATCTTAGATCTAATACTAACCAGTCATCCCGAGAGCCTATCATCGGTTACTTATCTCCGCGAAATCAGCGACCACAAAGTAATTCATCCTACCTTCAACTTTTGCCCAGTACGACATCAAACACGCGATAAAAGAATTTGTCTTTATCATTAGGGAAATTATGAAGTAATAAACAGGGAGCTTAACGCCTTTCTTCCAATTTTCGAAGCATCATTTTTTAATCGCTCTATTAATACAAACTGGATAATGTTCAGAAATAAATTAAATGAACTTGCAAATGAATTCATCCCAATAATTACGTTCCGTGAGAATCGACAGAAACCCTGGTTTACAAAGTCTTTAAAAAAGCTAGGTAACAAAAAAAAAGTATTTTCCGCTCGGCCAAGCGGAATGGAAACCCCTGCGCATGGGAAATATACTACGCAGCTGAAGACTCCTATCTGCCATCTATACGTAACGCAAAGCATTCCTTTTTAGAGCGCAGCTGTTAGGCGCCCGTTCCCGGCTTGAGCGGCGTCGCCGTCGGCGTCGGCGTCGCCGTCGGCGTCGGCGTAACCGCGCGGTGCATTATGGGTAAATTTCCCCGCTAAATCTAGCGGAAAAACTTCCCCGCTAGATCTAGCGGAAAATTTTCCCCGCGAAATCTAGCGGAAAAAATTTCCCCGCTAAATCTGGCGGAAAAAATTTCACCACTAAATCTAGCGGAAAAATTTCCTTGCTAAATCTAGCGGAAAAATTTCCTTGCTAAATCTAGCGGAAAAATTTCCCCGCTAAATCTAGCGGAAAAATTTCCCCGCTAAATCTAGCGGAAAAACTTCCCCGCTAGATCTAGCGGAAAATTCGCCCCGCTAAATCTAGCGGAAAAACTTCCCCGCTAAATCTAGCGGAAAAAATTCTCCGCTATCTGGCGGAAAAATTTCTGCGCTAAATCTAGCGGAAAAACTTCCCCGCTAGATCTAGCGGAAATTTTTCCCCGCTAAATCTAGCGGAAAAAATTTCTCCGCTAAATCTAGCGGAAAAATTTCCCCGCTAAATCTAGCGGAAAATTTTCCCCCCTAAATTTAGCGGAAAAAATTTCTCCGCTAAATTTAGCGGAAAAATTTCCCCGCTAAATCTGGCGGAAAAATTTCCCCGCCAAATCTAGCTAAAAACTTCCCCGCTAGATCTAGCGGAAAAATTTCCCGCTGTTTAGCGGAAAAATTTCCCCGCTAAATCTAGCGGAAAAATTTCCTCGCTAAATCTAGCGGGGAAATATTGGTCACGTGACCTGGGGGTCACGTGACCCCTTCCCGAGGTCACGTGACCCCTTTTTGAGGTCACGTGACCTCGGGGGGCACGTGACTCCCCCTCGACGTGGACCCCCTCCCCTGAGGTCACGTGACCCCAACAAGGTCACGTGCCCTCGGGGGGGGGGTCATGTGTGACCCCTTCCCCTATGTCACGTGACCCCCGAGAAACCGTGGCCCTCAGTACACTTCCCTCCTCCTCCTCAAGAGCTGCGCTCTAATTCGGCGTTACAGGGAGTGGTAAACGGCTTCAACTTCTTTTATGATGACTTACCAAAGATCTTAATAGACCCTTTACGAAAGTCAGTCTACCCACCTTGTGCAGAGCCAGACCCGACGCTCTAATGGCGGAACTACACTGTTTCTCCACACCAGAAAAATCGAACGTCTTCGAAAGCATAGAGCAGAAAAAGGAAAAGATGTTGGTCCTTTCACGTCACCTTCGATGCACGGAATCGAGGGTGTTTGATTTAGCCGCGCATGATCTCCTATCACCGCCATTAGAGCGGCAATAATGGAGCTTTTTATACTGCCACAAGAGGACTCTGACTTTTGAAAAGGGTCTATTAACAATCCTAAAAAATTTTGGCAAGTCATAAATCCCCAAGAGACGCGCATCATTAGCCTGACGAACGGAGCGGGCGAAATAGTCACTGACACTGAGTGCGCCAATGCTTTTAACTCCGCCTTCTTTTCCGTGTTTACCGAAGAAACCGATGTCCCTCCCTCTTTAATACCTTCTAACGCAGTATCTACTATGCCAGCTCCCACACTCTCTGTAGATGTCATCTCATCATTGATTGAAAATATCAAACTCTCATCGTCATCCGGTGTTGACGGAATTAACTCAAAACTTTTAAAAAATCCCAAACGTATATCTGCTGTGTACATGACCATGTTGACTTCACAGTCACTTTCTACAGGCACCTTACCGGACGACTGGAAGGTGGGAAGGGTCGTTCCAGTCTACAAATCGGGTAACAAGGACTCCCCACTAAATTACCGTCCCATCTCTTTAACAAGCGTCCCCTGCAAAGCCATGGAACACGTCATCTACATTCAAATAATTAATTTCCTAGACTCTATCGACTTTTTCCACCCCTCCCAGCACGGGTTTCGTAAGGGCTTCTCTTGCGAAACTCAGCTTGCACTCTTCGTTCATGACTTGCATTTTAGTCTTGACCATAACCTTCAAACTGACACGGTTTTTTTAGATTTTGCCAAAGCATTCGACAAAGTACCGCACCAGCGCCTCCTACAAAAAATTTCCCAATTAAACCTAAACACTGCTATTGTTCAATGGGTCAAGGAATTTCTGTCTAATCGGTCTCAGTTTGTCTTTGTTAACAACCACTCATCTAACCCTCTCCCAGTAACATCAGGCGTCCCACAAGGATCTGTCCTCGGCCCCCTCCTGTTCTTAATATGCATAAATGACTTACCATCGCATCTGTCATGCCACATTCGTATGTTTGCGGATGACTGCGTTATTTATCGTACAATCACTAACACCTCTGACCAGACATGCCTGCAGAATGACCTTAACCATGTGCAAGAATGGTGCGACTCTTGGCAAATGACGCTTAATCCCAGCAAATGTAAACTTGTATCATTCCATCGTCGCCGTAACCCCTTCCTTTTTACCTATACAATTGCTAGCGTCACCGTCGAATCTGTACGATCATTTAAATACCTAGGTGTAACACTGTCGAACGATTTATCTTGGCGCGCGCATACTACCAACGTCATATCAGCCGCGAACAGAGTCCTTGGATTTCTTAAACGTCATCTACGCCATGCCCCAAAGCACGTACGTTTACTTGCGTACAAATCACTTGTTAGATCAAAACTCGAATACCCATCTGCCATCTGGAACCCTCACCAAGCATATATTACTAATGAACTTGAATCTGTTCAAAATCGATCCACTAGGTTCATTCATTCTGCCTACTCATACGATATCAGCGTAAAAGCAGAATCCGGCCTGACACCTCTCTCTCTTCGCCGTCGCACTTCCAGCCTCTCCCTCTTTCACAAGTACAGCTCGCTCAACCATGCAGCTTACATTGTGCCCCCATCACGCATATCTCCGCGCATTGGTCATCCACTTCAACTAACACTCCCACGTGCCCGCACCACTACTTTTTTAGCCTCCTTTTTTTCTCAAGCAGCAGCAGACTGGAACGGCCTTCCCCACCAAGTCGCCGCCATCACATGTCCGTCCGTATTCATGAAGACTGTCGTCAACCACCTTCCGACATGAATGTCTGTTAAATATACTTTTATATGTAACCCACCCCTTATGTAATACCCCTAACGGGGTCTTTAAGGTAATAAAATGAAATGAAATAAAAATTTCGCGGGAGAATTTTCCGCTAAATTTGTTGAAACTTTTTCTCTGATTTTGGCAGAAAATATTTTTGCAAAATTTAGCTGAAAACTTTTTCGCCAAATCTAGCGCGTCAATAGGGTCATGACGTCAGAGCCATGTGTGACCTCACATGTGACTGCACGCATTGCATTATGGGTTTTTGGTCCCACTGATGCCGTATTTTTGTGCGACACGGGCTCCTAAACGCTGCTGCACTAAAAATTGAATAAAAAATAAAGTTGGAAATACTAATTTAAAAAAAAACTAACAAAAAAATTGTTTTTGTTTCTACACAGTGCTCAAGTGCTGAACGCCGCAATAGCATTGGGCTCGTGTACAGCAGCAAAGCACCACTCGGAGACACGTGAAATTGCTCGAACATGTGTCACCAGCGTGCGCATACATGCAGTCAACCAACTTTTTAAGGTCAAGCTTGGCGAGCTGAAGAGCCGCGCCACCGTGTCGATCAACCTTGCAGCACGCATTTCCATGGAGCTCGCTTCTGCAATATTTGATAGTGATGGGACGAATCTTTATCCAAATCGAGATTCGGAAGAGTAGCCGAATCTCAAGCGATTCGGAAAAGTTCGGAAAGATTCGGAGCGTTGCCATGGTTGCCAGATCACGTGGATGAGTGTTTCAACTTTTCACGATATTAAATTCACTAAATTCTACAAACTGGACAACTAATATGGTAATATAATATCGTAGAAATAAATAAAATAT